ATAAAATTATACATGTCAAAACATCAAGACAATATAAAGTACACAAGGACACAATTCTAGTTTACAGCACATTTCAACATTTTTGTGTTTACTCATAAAAATGTATGAAGGACATTCTTCTGAAAAAAAAAAGTCACCCCAAAGTTTCAGATGCTTCCACACACATAAGGCAAGACAAGTTTATTTTTAAGTACATTTCAACAATTCAAAGGGCTTTACATAAAACATAAAAGCAACAAAGGGAAACTGAAAAAAAAAGAGGGTAAAATAGAAAATAAAAACACATAACTATTACTCATTTCAATACAACATGTAGCACAAAAGAAATCTGTCCTCATGTTTGTTCATTTATTTTTTCTCCTCCAGATGCTCCAAAGCTTCCCTCTGTGTCAGTGAGTCCCTCTGCTGAGATAGTGGAGGGCAGTTCAGTGACTCTGACCTGCAGCAGTGATGCTAACCCAGCAGCTAAATACACCTGGTATAAATATCATGGAAATCAAAACCTTCCTCCTCTCGGTAAAGAACAAAAGCTTGTCTTCGGCTCCATCCAGTCCTCTGACTCTGGAAAGTATTACTGTGCAGCTGTGAATGATCTGGAGAGGAAGACATCTGGATTTGTCTCTATTAAAGTGAAATGTGAGTAAAATGCAGCTAATTTCAAAAACATTATACAATTAATGACAACTTCTTAAAGCTTAATTATCCAGTCAAATATTTTGCTGATCATGCACTTTCTTCAGTTCCACCTGTTTCACATTCACAGCAGCTACAACAGATGATTAAAGGTGGTTTTATTTTGAGTGAACGCTGAGTCAATGTTGAGTTCAGCTCAATGAATAGAGGGGTAGTACTTTTCTCATTGATACCTTGAATAATTTCCAAAATATTCAAGATTTTCCAGCAAAAATTTGTAAGTGAATGGAGAGAAGGATTAAATCCTCCTCATCCCTACTCAACTCTGTAAGGGTACTAGTTCAGCACACTTTCAGCTACAGACTTGATTTAAACTTTAAATTGGTCACAAGAAGCCAGGTCCAGATTGGGACCAAAATTCGGCCCTGGCAATGTGGTTTTCACCGGCCCAACGAAGTGATGACGTTAAAAAAAACCGCCCCTGAATCTGGACATTTTCCCCACTGAGACACCAGACAAGGCAGCAATGACTCTCACACTGTAGGCGTACACGGCAAGACGCATAGACTGCAGTCTATACACACACATTCACACGCACACACGAGCATGACACAGCGACCAAAAACACAAGCACACACACGCGTGGCGTAGCGGTCAGACGCACACAACACACGTGATTAAGAAAAATAAAGCACCATGACCAATCAGTTATGACCAAACCACAATAAAATACATGATAAAAAGAAGCATGTCCTACCTTATTAAATCAGCAGCCGTTGCATCAGCGCTCTTCTCTGCCACCCTTTTAATGATGCAATCCGTGTCCAAAGAAACCAGAGTCTCCTTTTGATTGCCATCAACATAAAGTTTTCAAGGTGCTCCTGTGAATTTTAACGTGGAAAAGCTTCGCTCAGATGCAACTTGTGTCCCAGACAGAGTTAACAGAAGCTTGTATCACAGTCCGATTAGATGGTAGGAGTCAGTGAGCAGGTTATGCCTTTGTAGGACATAATAACAACAGAAGGGACACTTTCTGCAAGATTGGCATGTTGTGTTCACAACATCTCATTCTTCATCTGGGGTCTGCTCATCATCTCCATCCTCAGTACTCATCTCTCATCACTTCAGCTTGTCCCAGTGCGTGGCCAGGCTAAGTAGTTCAGCCTGTAAGGCCTCAGGAGTTTCTCTGCTATCGAGCCTGATCAGTTTGGCGCTCAGGGCACTGACTGCACCTGCAGGTACACCGTTACATTTCAAGCCATTGAAGTTCTGGGGATCAAGCAGGGCGAAATCTGTGTACAGTTCTCTGTTTTTAGCAAAACGTCGGGAAATACTTTCAATGATGGAATCCAGAATGACATTGTGCACTTGTACCTCATACTTGCTGTCAGCATCTGATATGGCTGTATCATCACATAACTCGCCTGGCATCCTTTTTGTCTTCTTTGGTCTCCGGTTTGGCAGCGTGTGTTCCACCTCTGTGTCTGTCTCACACACATTTAATTCTCTATTGGCCCATTGCACAAATGCATCTGTTGCTGCCTTTACCCTCTTAAAATCCCTTGCATATTTTTTCATATTGTCATGTTTGCTTGTGACAAAGCGATGGGCCGTGAGCAAATCCTTTCCACTTGTTTTTAAATACTTGGAAAGTGGAGTTGTTTGTTGGATGATGTGTAAAAACGTCTGGACAGTGAGGATGGTTTGGTATTTCAGCAGAGCCTCTGCATAAGCATCGGAATTTGCACGCATCGCAGGGTCTTGAGTGTAACAACAAGATTAATGTAAAGACATCCCTCTGGATCCCCAAACTTCCCAAACACTGTTGTAAGCGCAGCGTCTTTGGCCCACCATCGGGTTTCGCCAATTGGTGACAGCCGCCTGTGCCGCACATCTTTGCTCACATCCTCCCATGCATTCATCCTTTTGATATGAATCTCTCAGCGATGTCGTTTAACAAAGAAAAAAGTGATGCACTCGATAGATTTTTCTTTTTAGAATTTATTTTATGGCGGGTTGACAGTCTGAAACAATTTGTATCCCACTACAACTTTTGCCCCTGTTATTAGTCATGATGTGAATATACACAAAATTAAATACTTGATGGTAGGCCGTCATCTGTGTGTTATGGATGGGGATACATATTTTGGCAGTCTGCATGTCCAGCCTGGTAGGACTGAAAATAATCAGAATCAGAAAGAGTTTTATTACCAAGTAGTATTTTACATGTACGAGGAATTTGCTTTAGTGATAAGGTGCTACTCGTAGACAAACATAACATAAATAAATGTAGACATATATAAATATGGAATAAACAAGTAAACAAATGCAAGTAATATAAGAATAATAAAAGATGCTGTTTAAATGCAATGCATTATTAAATTGTTAATAATTGTTAATGACAATAATTTACCTTTTAAGGAGTAAGTTAATGTGTAGTATTTTCTTTTCCTTCATACATTTTGCTAGAAACAAAATTGCTGCCTGGATTTGTTAGGTGGCAACATTTTTGGGTTGTAGGAAGGGCCAACTTTTTTAACCCCCACACAGTTAAATTACAGTACAAATATCAGCCATCTGCAGAAAACGAAAACAATTTAATGTTGGTTCTGAAATAGCAATTTTGACAATAAAATTATACATGTCAAAACATCAAGGAAATATAAAGTACATAGATTTCTTAGCTTGTGCTAACCAGGAATATAATATCAATAAGTATATAGACCCAACTCTGCTAATAGAAAGTTAATCATGGACACAATTCCAGTTTAAAGCACATTTCAACATTTTTGTGTTTACTCATAAAAATGTATGAAGGACATTCTTCTGGCCTCCTCTTAGCTGTGTTCACATACAACGCAAATTTAGTCTTCGCAATGCTTTCCTCGCGCAGCTTTTTAGCGCTGGACAACTACACTCTAAAAACTATTACTGGGATAAACTTAATTTTATTGGTGAAAAATTTTTACACTTAAAAAACATTTAGTAAATCTAAAAGCTGTGAAATCAAGTAAATATAACTTATTAATTTAGTAAATGTAAGTTAAAAAAAATAAGTAGATCTGAATAACAAAGTTAATTATCCAGACAGATAAAATTAAGTAGATCTAATCAAAATCTTAAGTCAATGTAGTAGAAACCCTTTGAGAAAACCACTAATAAAATTGAGTAGATATAACTGAATTTTTAAAGTAGATATAAATAGAAACATTACTATTATTTAACACATCAAATGTGCAACATTTACTCATGAATTACTGGAATTCAATTTATATTTAACTATCAATTATCAAAATCAATATATGTTACATGTACTTAATTCTTTTAGCTATATTTACCCTTTATATCCAGGAGTACATACACAATATATTTCAAGAAAAACAACAAAATTACAAATGACATATGTAACAATTACCACACTATAAAAACAGTGAGCTCAACTCTGCACATTAGTAAGCCGTCTCTAAAAAATGGGTAAAATGCGCCAAGAACAATTGGCCTTTGAATTAACTTAAAATATAGCAGAAATAGAATATGATATTCACAAGTATGTTTCATTTGTGTATAATCACCTATAATGAGCCTTTTTATGTGTACAGAGGGCACAGGTCATCTTACTCAGAGTCTGCCACGCTACACAGTCATGTTTCTACAGTAGTGCAGAACGGACAAACCAAAGGTTCTAGCCAGGTAGGGCCAAGTGTGTAGGAGAAACTACGGTGGCAGTGAAACTTCTGAAAAATGGGAGTCATGTTTGGTTTTTCCCTTCAGAGCTACTGTAGTAACACGGTGCACTCTGATGAAGACGACGTATGCAGACTTGTAGAAATAGACAATTTATTAGGTAGACCTCGAACAATCTACTGCTTTGCTATAAAGTCTTCTTTTATGATACATTTAAGGGTAATGGACTGTTAAGTGTCACAGAGGTGTTGTTTTAGCATTGGGGTCATAGCTGGAGATGCTGTTGGACTGGACTACATTAGAGTCAGAGGTTTTTCTAATATTATTCTCACCAAATGGATTTAAATAGGGAGGACAAAAAAAAAGAGAAACCTCTCACTATAATGTACAACAGTACAACACCACCTTTAACTATCACCTCAAACATATAGTTGGAGGCCTATTTACACATTTCTGACAATTTCACAAAAACCTTAACACTGTAAACTTTGTAGAAGAAAAGTTTATGGCAGAGCTGTTGCTGTGAATTACATTAGACTGTTCAGGTGTATCTAATAAATTGTCCATGCTATGAGAATAATTGGCTTAACTGAACTCATAGTGATTACAGTGACATTGTGTGATTAACAATTACACAACAGAACTGAATACCAGTCCAAAATCCAATGTTCTCTTAGTAAACATTAAGACAATCCACCAGCCACATTATAAGAGCATCTTGCCAGACAGTAGTCAGCAAGGTACACAGGAAATTTTTCAGTCACTGAAGCAGCACTTTTTGGAAGACTGTAACTTTTGAGATTCTTGGGGTTTTCAGATCCAAGGCATAGGTTAGTCCCTACAACTAGCATCAGTCTGAGGACAGTGATGCCTTTATTCTCAGTCCCTACATCAGTAGGTTCTTTGAATGACCCATCTTGGTTCCGCAGCAGGTAAAGCTTCACCTCTCGTCCCAACTCCTCTTGAACACCGACAGGTGCATTTGCTGCATTCTGCAGACATTTTAAAGATAAGAGGTTAGAGCTCACTTTCTTTGTAATAACATGAGTCTTGATATTAATGAATGCAAACAGAAGGATTAATAAATGTATTTATTTATTTCAGTCATTCACATTATACACATTACTACTGACTATATTATACGTGGACTACACACTACATCTGTCTTCAGTGTTAAAGACAACAATTAATACATATCACTTGATAAAATATTTTTAGATTTCAACCTGAATAGTTTCACTGGGGATAGAGCTAAACGATTAATTCCATTTGCTGCGATTCCACTGGTCACATGATACGCGAGAGTAAAGCAGTCTGCAGAGGAAGCATCAAGTTGAGGTGCTGTCGGAGAATTACTAAGCTTGCTATTAGATGCTTTTTAGATAAGGAAAATGCAGCGCATGCGCCGAGCACAAACTCCAGAGAGAAGCGGGGCAAGCCGGTGTGTTTACCTGAGGTGTGGGGAGAAGATCATTCGAGGAAGGTGTGAAGCATATTTAAAATGTATAATAATAATTGTCGTGGAAATTATATTCCTGGTGAGGGGTTGAGCAAAGAATTGAGTAACAACCAACCGTTGTCTTTGAATAATTTATTTAACAAAAGAGAATAAACAGAGAAGTACTAAAACACATATACAGCTGGTCCAGAGACCTGCCGCCTAGGGCGGCATCGGGCGTCTGGCCCCGAGTAAAGGGATGCATCAGCATTTACACAGTCTAGGTTTCTATGTTTTGGGGAACAGAGATCCTCTCTCGGCATTGAATGAACATTCCATGAGAGGAGAGGAACAACAAGAGAGGGAAACACCAAAACAATCTCACAGCTCTGACCCAAACCCTAGTAAATGTGGACAGACCAACATAAGGAGTATAGGAGAGGAAAGGTTAAGGATAAAAACACAATACATATCTATAACAATAATAGTAATAATGATAATATTAAAAGACCATACATAAAATATTAAATGTAAGAGGACACAATTTTCTGCCATTACAATAATATTTGTGCTGATTAAATCGTCTATCAGCCAACCCTAGCGTGTGTGGTATGTAGGGCTTAATGATTTTCAGATATTTCCTGAGCTGACTGGTAGCTGTGTGTGTGACGCAGGCGCCGATCGCCACAATACGCTTACCTTTCTACACGTGACTTTCACCCACCACCAAGTTACAAGGTGCTACTTTCATTCCATGTGTGACACAAAAGTTTCTGTAGTGTCAGTTTCTTTCAAGCTTAAGGCCGTTGTACAACAAGAAGACAAGGTACGGCGTAACGTGCAGACAAAGCATCAACTTCGTCTGCAGACTGCTTTACTCTCGCGTGTCATATGACCAGAGAGTAATCTCAGCCTTTGCGATTAGGAAATCACTAGTTCAGCTCTAGTGGTATCCTAGGCTTTTTGTAATCCTTTTTGTTTTAGCGCAAAATATGTAGTTGAATCCAAATTTTTAGCCTGATCTGATTCCATAACTTTCAAACTGCTTGTTACAAAAAAAGGGACACACAAAGAGTAATCCCTCCCTGCTAACTCGCTATGCTTCCCCTTTGCATGTTTGTGATCTCGTCTCAGTCATCAATGAATACATTAGTTAAAACTAAAAAAAACGACAGTTAAAAGTCCTGAAAACTATTTTACTAACCTCAAAGTCCTTCATCAAGGCACTTGTATCTTCTCCCAGGTGGTCAAGGAGACATCGGATGATGACCTCTTGTTTTGCTGAATGAAGATTCCACTCTGCAGAACAGAAAGTCTTTAAACTACTAATACTTTTACTACTACTTTTGCTTTACTGCACCCACTTTATTGTCAAAATGGTTTAAATTTAGTTAACATTGAATAAATGAAACATCAGCAGCATAGAACTGGTATTTGTTGAGGGATGCAAAGTAGATGCAAGAAAAAAAAAACATGGAAACTCATGGCACAGATGAACAGGCAGATGCATGACCATGACCAGAATGAAGACAGAAAAGCAAGTAATGTTAAAGCTAGGGTCGGTAAGATTTATTGACAGTATTACGTGAGACAGATAAGAGTGGCTACCTCCACTCCAGAAGGAATACAATTGTATAACCTGAAGTAGTCAGTCATACTCACATCTGCCCGATGTCACTCGCCTGCAGCACCCTTCTTCGCCTTGGACAGGACAGCTGTTTGGTGGAATACAAGTCCAACATTGATGTGAATTTTGGCTCAAGATTCACTGTGATGATCCTCTGGAACTCACACACATTGACCTGAATGAGAAAGATGAGAAAAAAGAAATTAGTGGCAACATAATCGATCATCATTTCAATTCTGCAAAAACACATGCAGGTTTTCTGTCTGTAACTTCTGTGTTAACCGCTACAAAAATTATTTTTACTCACTTGCAAGACATCAAACAAGGCAGGCCATCACCAGGATCTGTAATGGCAGCAAACAATGAATGTAGTGTTAAATGCAAAATATCAGATAGCAATATTAAAATACTAATTTCATTTTGTGAAATAAACTTAATGATAATTGTAAATTGAACAAAAAATTAGCTGTTAAACCTCTAGGCATTAATATTGGTATGTACAACTCAAACAATCACTAAAGCAATATTCAGAGATTTTATTAAGTTAGTATAGCTATTTATTACTATGATATTTACTAAGCCTGTGAATCATTTTTTAGAGTGTAACGTTGCTGAGTGTTTGCACGGTTCGCACACAACGCGGTAAACGAATAAACACAACCCGCAAATTCTACAGTTAAATGAACAGAAAGTAAACATTTTGCTGTGATTTCATAGCAATAAATGGATCAAACTGATGCCGAAAAACTACAATATGATGCCGATTTGTTAAACATATGAATTCATGTTTTGCCAGGTCTGTCAGCAGGACAACAACTTTTAAAATGTTGGTTTTCTGAATGGAGTTCGGTTCGAGCTGGGCTTGCTATGCTAACTTGTTCACAATAAAGTACAACGATACAGTACACCAGGTAGTAATGTCCAAGTAATGTTCAGTTCTGTCCAGTTTTTATATAAATATGAAGTAGTAGTCCAACAGAGCTCTGGGAGCCAGACGATGCTAACAACAACAGTGGAACCAGATGCTAGACACTAGCTGCCGAAAAACTCCAGTGAAGATGAATCAACGTTGTATTCCCAAAAACTAAAGTTAAAAAGCTAATTTAATAAAAGCAGTTAACTTTGAGCTTCTCCCGCGAGTAAACAGCGTTGTTGTCAGAGCATAATCCAGTCCAATTACGTGTGTTTATTTGTCCAAAAACTGCAGCGCTGCTCCCGTACACTTCCCCGTTCGTCAGCCATGCTTCCACACACATAAAGCAAGGCCAGTTTTTTTGTAAGCACATTTCAACAACAAGGCAATTCAAAGGGCTTTACATAAAACATAAAAGCAACAAAGGGAAATTGAACAAAAACATTAAATATGCTTTTTTTAAAGGGTAAAATAGAAAATAAAAACAGCGTACAAACACATAACTATTCTCATTTCAATGCAACATGTAGCACCAAAGAAATCTATCCTCATTTTGTTTATTTATTTTTTCCAGATGCTCCAAAGCTTCCCTCTGTGTCAGTGAGTCCCTCTGCTGAGATAGTGGAGGGCAGTTCAGTGACTCTGACCTGCAGCAGTGATGCTAACCCAGCTAAATACACCTGGTACAAGAAGAATGAAGACTCACCAAAAGCATCAGGACAGAACTTCACCATCACTGACTTCAGAGCTGAACACAGTGGGAATTATTACTGTGAAGCCCAGAACAGAAGAGGACGTCATAACTCCACCTTACATCTGATTGTTGTGCAGGTAAGTTTTGCATTGAGCTGCACACACTCTGGGGACATTACAGTGTTTTCTAATTCCTTAGGCACAATTTTTGAAACTAGTGGCTATTTTTTCAAAACTCTACACACTAATCACAAAACCTTACACCAATAAAACAAAACATTATACATCCCTTGCAAAAGCAAACAATTCTTACAAAACTCTTCAACTATATAATACGTAAACACAAATGCACTGTACTTGGTTCAGATCTGTCTCTGCTTTCTATCTCTGACAGTAGAGAGATAATAATCTCTTTTTAGAGAGAACATTCTGATCTACTTTGGCTTTTAGTTTCTTCTTTGTAACGCTCCAAATCAGTTTCTTTACATTGGTAATAATTTGGTTTACTCTGATTGGTGTTTGGAAAGCAGTGTTACTCTATGGGAGCAATGGGTCCAAACATGCTGTAACACTCTAATTTACTGTCTGTGTTGTTTTATGTTCCCCATTTTTTAGGAGCAGGGAAATTAACAGTTGCTACAACAATCACTGTTGTTCTCCTGGTTATCATTTCCCTCTGTCTCTTCCTGTGGATCAGGTGAGCAGCTCTGTTTCACTGAATCATTGAATGTTAAATCACTGAAGGTCAGTTTGTCCAACCTAAAACGTTCAGTCATTTATTTTCTTATTATTCTCCTAACCAGGAAAAAGAGGGCTTCCAAGGAATCGTCTGAGCCTGAAGAGAGACCAGACAACAGGGAACAGGTGAGAATAGTCACGGATCTTATTCAAGAACAAAAGTCACTCACTCTTCAAGTGCTTCTGGAGAATGAATCTGACTGAGAAGGACTTCATGTTGCTCTTTTGACATCCTTCTTCACAGAAATGAATTTCTAATGGATGTGACTAAATTCCTAGTAGATCCAGAAGCTTTCCTACTTTTTGTCCTTTCCTTGTAAATTCCTTTACTTAGCTCTTTTCTGTAATGCACGGTGAAGCAGGAATTTTGTTCCATTACCAAGCTGCAGTTGCTTCAGTCTTTTCTGTCCTGGTTGCAATCATCTGTAAGAATTCACTATTCAGATGAAAAACCCACTCATGTAAAATATGTCTGTGCAGTTTCTACCTGAACAGCCAGAGGAGCAGGATAACCTTCAGTATGCCAGCATTCACTTCACCAACAACCAGGCAGATCCTCTCTACTCCAACATCAGACCAGCTCGCTCCCTCAGACACACGGAGCACAAGATTTCATGGAGTACGCTGTTGTCACATTTAAGAGTAATACTGCCCCGAGGTGAGCAGCTCTTCTCACATTATCCTCACTACAAGATTAAAATGAATAACTGTGAGATAAATATGTTGCTTTTGCATTTTGCCTGCTCTGGTTTTACATTTGTTGTATCGCTGTTGGATATGATGTTATTTATATTATTTCATACAATGTCTTCTTTTTTCTCAGATCCAGAGGTCAGGAAACTGGAGAGGATGTAGCTGCATTGTACAGCACCGTCAACAAAACCTATTGAATACAACAGATATTACATTTCTGATATTTCTATGTTTCTTTATGAACTGATTTAAGCAGATAACTATTGATTTTTACAATATATTTCTCAGGATGGGCCTCAAAAAATGGGCTAATTAATTATATACCTTAGAGAAACTTTAACATAACATCCACCAGTATAGCAGTAGGGGTGGTGATGGAGCAGTGGATAAGACACATGCCTTCAGATTCCCACTGCGACACATCCACCAATGTGTCCCTGAGCAAGACACTTAACCCCTAGTTGCTCCAGAGGCGTGTGACCTCTGACATATTTAGCAATTGTAAGTTGCTTTGGATAAAAGCGTCAGCTAAATGAGTAAATGTAACCAGTGTTCAGCTTAGATTTTTACTCTGCATGTGCAGCTTTAAAGAATGTGTAAAGTATTTTATGACTTAAAGCATTAACTTGAATATTATTTGTGTAACATGTTTTTAACAGTCTTTGAAAGTTCAGTATTCAGTGACCTTTTATCTCTGCTCTCTAACAACTCTCCTTCCTGCCAAACCTCTTCCTGGAGACACCAAAATGTACCTGAAGTAACTGTTAGTGCACCAGAGGAAGTTAAGCCTCTCAGACCTAGGAGCTACTTTCAGAGCTAAACTTGTTTGTTTTTGTTTGAGTCTTACAGTTAGGACTTAACACCCCGTATTTTTATGGAGTTCATAAAACTCAGCTAGTTAGGAGCTACATGTTTTGTGAGTATGACTCTACTGTTAGTTCAGGAGTAGTAGTTACAGTGATATCCAACATCAGTAAGTCAAAATAAAATAAACGGTGCATTAATAACAGAGTAAAAGTAAGGCTGAGGCTGCTCCACAGTGTCTGTAAGTAAGTGAGGGAGTTTGGCATAAATACCTTCACAATTATCTTATATCTCAGCTAATGTATATATAGTCTATGCAGTTTTTTGGTTGGCTTCCTTCTAATTTCCTTCTTTTCTAAGGCAGCTGTGGCTCAGGAGTTGGAGTGGGTTGCCTGTTAAATCCCTGGCTCCTCCAGGCTCTGAATGTTAGTTTCTGTTTGAGCACTTAGGCTCAGTGTATAAATGTGAGTCAATGATGGATGCAGATGTTGTGTAAAAGCACTTTGAGTGGTCAAAAAGACTAGAAAGGTGCTATACAAATATGGAGTCTTTACATCTATTTGTAATTATTTCAGTCAAATAGTGTCGGTGTTCGTTACCTCTTAGCCAGCAGTCTCTTGTGATGCTGTAACATGTCACTTCCCCCCCAGAGATCAATAAAGCTAAAGATGAAACTACAGAGTTTGCATTTCTTTCCTCTCTAAATGAGATTTCTGCCACTTTTTGTACCATTTGTTCTTTTTACATCACTTTTTATCACCAGTATTCTGGTCTGGTGTTCCAGGTCTTATACTATCAATAAGACTGCATCATGTGACTTTTTCCCACTCTGACGCAGCACATCAATTTGAATCTATGGTGTGCATCCAAGCGATGCATCAAACTGTCGGTTTTCTCCTGTTCCTGTTTAGTCTAGCACCACTGACAGAACACAAACTGTGATGACACTTACGCTAAGATTTCTTTCTTGTGTTTGTGGGGTGTTCTGATTGTTCATGTAAATAATGTAAAGAGGAAAGAAGTTAGGTGGATTTTAACAGCTTCGACTTCTGTTTCCTGCTTTCAGACCACAAAGGAATGTTGTCTTGTGAAGATAACTTAATTTCATGTTAGGTAGAAGTGTTTTTGATTTGACTGATTTACTTTGGTGTACATTATTATCTGCAGACATTTTTTAATGTCTGAAGTCGCACAGAGGGATGAGAGGAGCAGTTATGAGTTTAACAGCAGCAGCAAGTGGATTTGTCGTCCTTCTCCTGACTGTACCAGGTGCTGTATATCTACATTTAAGTTCTAGGGTTTTTACATTTAGTCAAAGCATCCTGAAGTTAGTTTAAGAAGAAACATTTAATTAAATCATTTATTGTCAGACGTTCATGTTCCTAGATTTGACCTGTACAGTCATGAAGTGTGGTACATTAAAATACCTTAAAACTCTGACTGCAACACCAAACCTTAACTTTTGGACTCAGTGCTTCTACTTTGGTGTATAAATGCTTGTGTCTGGATTGTTACCACACAGTGGTTTGTGGATTTTCTCGTATATTTCAAATATAGTCTATAATCTGTATCCTCGATACCATAAATTTGAATGCTGTGTACAGTAAGGGTTGCAGAGGAGGAAATACGTTCTTGGATGCAATGTGATTTTGAATTATTCATCCCCATAGAAGGACGACTACTTGTCTCAACCTGTGGGCACTTTTAGCACAATGCAGTGATATTTTGGTAGGAGGAGGGGGTCTGATAAGACTGATGCTAATAACTCAATCATTCTGCTTCTCTTCGTGTTGAGTCTCAAACAGTGAAGTCTTCTCGCACATATTTCTACTTTTATGTCATTAAGTTGATGGCTAACCTTTTTAAAATCACTTTTTCACTTGGATTTGCAGGAAAACTACCTGTTTCATTGCCAAGCAGAATGTTTGAGTCAGTGTCAATGCATTTCTTTCTCTTGAATATGAAGTCAAAATAATGAGCGAGCACCAGCTCACAATTTCTACTTAGGAAGTAAAAATTTGTACTTAGTATCTTATGATTTCGATTTTTTGTTCTTTCTATAATTTTTCTCTCTTCCTGGTAGAAATTGACTTCTTTAGTTCAGAGCTCAAAGTAGTGCAGGGACCCCTGGACCACCTAGAAATTTTAATTATGGATTTGGGCAAATTACAAGTGTCCAGGATCTAATGTTATGGGGAATGCCCTCAGTCAGCAGTCTACCATAAAGTTAATCTGTTTTTACATGGATTCCATGGATTTGATGAATTGATCTTGGATGAGCACCAGCCGAATGGACAAAATGGCAAAGCAACTTTAGGGTTTTAATGTCAGATCTCCAAAAAACATTAAATACAAGGTTTCAGTAAGCACTTTTACTTAAAAGTAGGGCTGTCCTGCCTATAGTCGATTGATAGTCGAATCATATGTTATTGTGCATGGTGATTGCGAGCCGAGTGGGGGAGAATAATACACGTTAGCTCCACTTTAATCTTGAGAAGCTGCAGAGCTGCAGTCTCTATTCATTCAACCTACACTGTAAATTTCCAGCTAAACTGATGCTTAAAGTTGAACAATCTCTCTCTCCTGCCATTCACCGGTCTTGTGCAGAGTTTTGTGTGCATGCCGTGCTGCCGACAACTGCATGCACGTCACGGTTCCTCACGGGTCTATTTCAAGTAGCCGGCTGTTTAAAAAACGATAAAGTATTCTTTGTGTGGTTCATCAAAGGTGATAAATTATCCAAAAGTCCCAACAACTAGGCACAACACCAATGAAGCCGGGGCTCCGTCTCTTCAGCAAGTGTTTCTCTTCTGCCACTATCGGTACGTTCCATTTACCTCAGAAGTCGGAGGTCGGAGCTGTGAATGACGTCACACCCGAGTTGACGGCGTTCCAGTTCACAAGAAATTTTGACCTTTGAACTCGGAAATTCCAACTTCCCATGTCAAATGGAATGCACCGTAAACATGCGCACTGACGACCCAGGGTTAGGGTTACAACTTAGAGAGTTATTCACGCACTTTAAAAATATTTATTTAAAGTTTTGTTCTTTTTACTTGTTTATTTACAACATTAAACGTTGAAATGCGTATTGTAATAGGCTGTATATTACTTGTAGGGAGAAAACTGGTAGTTCTATGTAAAATCAGACGTCAAGCACCCCCATATAGTCAAAATGGCATGATCCTTGTTTTGCTGAGAAGCCTCGACTGAGAGATTGATGGTCGAATCAGGCTCTGCACATCGAAGTATCAAATCTTCCACTATTGGGGTTTTATGCCGAGTTTTGCCTGCCTGCCGAGAACTGCATGCACCTCCAAATACTATACTATTCTTTGTGGGGTTCATCAATGGTGATGAATGATTCAAAGTATATATTTTATGAACGTTTAGAGTCTTTAATAGTTTAATAAACTTAGCAGAAGTACCATTCCTTGAGATTCAGTAAATATATGTGGTGATAACCTGATAATCAATGAGCACAGCAAAGTGTCTGAAAAGAATTTGCATCCACTTCTTTTCTCAGCATAAATGACCGTTATCACTCGCGAGGTGCATGCAATTCTCGGCAGGCGGGCAGAATTTGGCACAACAGGTGTCAGCCCTTCTAAAAAGTATTAAAAAGTGGTACTTTCCTGCTCCACTCCTATTACATAGACTTTTTTATGTCTGAAATAAATGGGCTAAGCTGAAGCACCCAAGAGTCATAAATATTCCTATGACAGCCTCTCATTAAAAACAGAAATACCTGAATACCTAAAATACTTTGTTTTTCATTTCCAGTCTCACACTCCGTGGCAAATAGTTTGACTCCTCTGGAAGTAGTTTTGTAAATGTACAGTAGTTCAATTAAGTCCTACAAAAATAAATAAAATGAAGTCTGTTCTCTGATGTTGTTATGGATCGGATTTTGGATTCTGAAGTCATCTGTTTTTCAGTTGTACAGAGTCAGAATGGCTGGAGAGTGATTTACACTTCTACTCCGATCTGTGCCGTAAAAGGATCAACAGTGGAATTAAGCTGCACCTACATATATCCCTCCAGCTTAAATAATCATGATACCAAAGCTGAGGAAACATTCTGGTTTACGAAAGAGAGTAATAATGTTTATGTGGATCTGAGATCGGACCCAGAGTATTCAGGTCGCGTGACGTATATCTGTGATAAGAACCGCTGCACTCTGAGAATCACAGACCTGAGAGAGAGCGACTCAGCTGAGTACAAGTTCAGGTTCATAACAAACCAAGAACGTGGGAAATATACTGGTTTACCGGGAGTCACTCTGTCTGTCACAGGTAACAATTTAGTTCCCAGTATTCAACATCTTATGAACGTTAGTTGTGTGTGTGTGTGTATGTTGGCAGTTCAGTCTAAAATGAAGCCTTCTTATTCATGTATTCAGATCTCCAGGTGCAGGTGACCAGATTAGACATCTACAAGACTTCTAACTGGGCAGAGCTGGAGTGTCTCAGCAGTTGTCATCTACCTGATCATCTGTCCTATGTCTGGTATAAAAATGGACAGTACAGGCAGGGAACATCTACTTACTCAGGCTCCTTTGATCCTGCAGACAGCTTTTCCTTGTCACGGTTTTGAAGTGAAGGCAGGGTTGAGCAGGTTGGAGGACCCAGATGTAGGACGCAAGGCAAAGGAGGTACAATTCAAGGGGTTTTAATAAACAAACAAAGGCGAGCACACTTACAAACTGAGTGGCTGATGACAGAGTCCAAAACAAAGTAATCCAAACGAGAAAACCAGAATCCAGAATAAGCAGGGAAACACGACGAGTAGGCTGGCAACACAAGGTAACACACTGTAACACACTGTAACACACTGTAACACACTGTAACACACTGTAACACACTGTAACACTGGGTGACAATAAACAATGACCCGACAAAGACAAGACAGAAACACCAGGTATATATACACAGGGACTAACGAGCAGGGCGGGAGCAACACAGGTAAAAGACATGAGGCTAACAAGGCACAGGTAGGGAGAGAGAGAGAGAGAGCAGGGGAAAACAGAGACAGACATGCAGAGGGATCACTGGGGTAACAGACATGACAAGGGTTACCGAACACTAGACGAAAGACAAGACAGACCCCCAAAACCCAACAGACCAAAATAACGCTAACTAAACACAAAAGTGCAAAACACCGCATGGCAGACAGGCAGAGTGTGACATTCCTGGGCTGTAAATGGGTATAAGAACTCTCTCCTTCAGTCTGTGAGTTTACTCCACAGTCTTCCACTAACATAAAACCATCTGGTGGATCGGTTTAGCTAATGCACTGCACCATGAATGTACGTGTCTGTAATATGTGAGACAATACTTGCCTTGTATTTTGCATCTAACCACAAAACCTGTGTTTGTGTGTCACTCGCTGTCAGCTTAGTCTTTCATTTTTATAAAATATTAAAATCTATCCTCTGCTGTTATAAATCTGACTGTTTTCTGCTCTGTGTTACAGTGGTACAGAGTCAGAATGACTGGGGAGTGACTTCCACTTCCACTGAGATCTGTGCCTTAAAAGGATCAACAGTGGACATAAGCTGCACATACAGATACCCATCCTGAATAAATGACGGCCATACTATAATCTGGTTCACAAAAGAGAGAAATGATCAATATGTGGATCTGGAAACAGATCGTGTGCAGCATCAATGTGGAAACAACTTCTGCACTCTGAGAATCAGAGACCTGAGAGAGAGCGACTCCGCTGAGTACAAGTTCAAGTTCAACACGTTAACAGGGACATTTACTGGTTCACCTGGAGTCACTGTGTCTGTCACAGGTAACATTTTCACTGGAAGACAGTTAGTGTGTATTTTGTCTTAGCTAACCTTTTATTTTAGAGATTGTTTTATGTTTTTAGGTGTTTTTAGAGTACTGTATATAGTGGCCACACTTTTTGTATTTCATTCTGTTTTTCCTTTGTACTTGAATTGTAGGAAAGGCAAAGGTTTTGAACCCCATGCAATTAAATAACAGTAGAAACATCAACAGTCATCTGCAGAAAAGTTGTTTGTTGTTGTTTTTTTCAAATAGCAATTATGACAATGAATGTACATGTCAAACATAAATGACATACAGTTTATTGATATCTTATCTTGTACTAGCTAGTAATATAATATCATTAAGTATATTTATCCAACTCTGCTTTTCGATTAATGCAGTATTTACAACACACTGCAATAATTTTGGGTGATATAACTTACCTCTGTTTTACCCACGTAAGATGCACGTTCATCTGGTATCTTCTTAGATGTAAATGAGTATAATTCAAGTGGCCAAAACACACAGCTCTGTCTGCTGCCAGTCACAAAACCACCTCCAAAATTTCAGATGCTTCCACACTCATTTCAACACAAAACAAAGAAATCTATCCTCAATTTTTGTTGATTTATGTTTTCTCCTCCAGATGCTCCAAAGCTTCCCTCTGTGTCAGTGAGTCCCTCTGCTGAGATAGTGGAGGGCAGTTCAGTGAGTCTGACCTGCAGCAGTGATGCTAACCCAGCAGCTAATTATACCTGGTACAAGAAGAACTCACCAAAAGCATCAGGACAGAACTTCACCATCACTGACTTCAGAGCTGAACACAGTGGGAATTATTACTGTGAAGCCCAGACTCAGCATAAGACTTTTAGCATCCCATACTGCTGCAGCACATCTCTTTGAACTATTTTCACTGTCTAAAGATGCACTTGAAGTGTCAAGTGATGCATCAAACCAACTTTTACACCAGTCTTGTTTTTGTGCTTTAAATTGGAAGAGTTTAAAAATGTGTTTTCTCTTTTTGAATGGTCTTTGCTTGTGTCTGGGATTTTTACAGCGAAACAGGTTTAATACCAACAGGCCATAACAATATTTTCTTATTCTCTCTTATTAAGTTCTTGGTTTGCAAATCGTTACTTCTTTATTTTGATGTTGGTGTTAACTGGCATTTGGCTCATCATGAATGTTAATAATCTAATGAGGAAGGAAATGTAGTCGTTTAACAGCCTGATATCTATCTTCTGCTTACTGACCACAGAGGAAGGCTTCTTTAAAGACAGCGTCCTTCTTCACTGTAAGTAGAATTATTTATTGATGTGACTGATACTGTATATCTGCCTTGTACATTATTTTATCTGCTAACATGTTTTATTGTCTCTGAAGCCACACAGAGAGATGAGAGGAGCAGCTATGAGTTTAACTGCAGCAACAAGTGGATTTGTCGTCTTCCTTCTCTCTGTGTCAGGTACTGAATATCTTATATTTGTTGCATTAAAACAGGGGAATCTGGGAAAATATGGGTCTTGTAAAAGTAGGTCAGTTGTAATGAATATTAAGAAGATCGTGGTTTGTGATGGCCATCATCCTTTGCTCTTTTCTTTTACTTAAGGTAATTGTGTGCAGTCACTTCTACATGTTGTAAACGGAGAATATTTGGGGTTTTAGTTATGACTGTTCCCTTCTCACCCTGTGAAAACCTATTGCCCTGTTTAATGTGTTCTAAAGTCGACTCTGGTTGCAGAAGATGGCGGATGATTAGCTCCTATCTGCAACTATTTTTATCACGGTAATTGTGTGCTACTTTTATCACGGAGAAGGTTTTTAAAGAGATTCTGGTCTCACAGTGAAGTCATACTGGCACAATTTATCTCATATCAACATCTGCACGAAACCCTGCTACTTCCTTTTGTCTGACCTCAGTGATGTTTCTGTGGTCTGTGTTGACAGCAGCAGGGTCCAAAATTATCTTTCTTTACTGCCTGCCGCTGTGGCAAGCAAGTTATGTTGCCTTCCACACAGAAATTGTATCACTTTAGAAATGTATGCACCTAGATAGCCTAAATGACGAAACAACATTCAGCTCATTTAGGCAAATTGTAATTTAATGTTTCCCCTTTCAAAGTGGTGGATGGTCTGATGATTTTACAGCCTCTACCAACAATTTACCCTCATTCAGCGGGTGCTAAAGTCAGAGATCTTGATAGCAGTTTTCTGCGTCTTATGTTTAGCTGCTAGAAACTCTCCCATTTTATGTATTTTATGTCCCACTGTTCTTCTGTTTTATCCCAGTAAAGTATGTAAAATGTCCTTTATTTTCTGTTTGGATAACTTGTGTGTTGACACATAAGCTGCACTTTTCAGGCATTTTTTTTTCTTTCTTTCATTCTTTTTTTTTTTGTTTGAATGAATAGGCCAAAGCAGAATTAACCAGAAATATTCCAAAAAAATGATTTTAAAAAAACCTTATAATTATAGTAATATATAGGTATCTTATAAAATTCTCTATTCCAGTTAAGGTTCAGGAACTTTTTATGACAATGACTGCAGATAATTAGTCAGACAACTGAGGACCTTGAAACTTGTCCAGGATACATTTTCGCCAAATCATATCGGTAGTATGATCCACTTTGTCTTATTAACTGATTGTTAATGAAGTTATTGATGTTGATTGTTGTTTCTGATGTGCTCTGTGTTACAGTTGTACAGAGCCAGAATGACTGGGGAGTGACGTACACTTCTACTACTAAGATCTGTGCCTTCAAAGGATCAACAGTTGATATGTCCTCCAAATATACATACCCACTCAAAACAAATGGCCATGAGACTAAAGTTGAGAGAATATTCTGGTTTACTGAAGAAAGTAATGTGGATCTAATAATGGACACAAACTATTCAGGTCATTTGACACATAGCTGTGGTGAGCCCTACTGCACTCTGAGAATCACAGACCTGAGAGAGAGCGACTCAGCTGAGTACAAGTTCAGGTTCATAACAAACCAAGAACGTGGGACATATACTGGTTCACCTGGAGTCACTCTGTCTGTCACAGGTAACATTTTATCTGAATATTTATTATTTAGTTCCAAATGTTCAACATCTTATGAAGGTTACTGTGTGTGTGTTGACAGTTCAGTCTAAAGTTAAGATTTCTGTTCCTTATTCACATATTCAGATCTCCAGGTGCAGGTGAGCAGATCAAAGGAGTCTTATAACTGGGCAGAGCTGAAGTGTCACAGCAGTTGTCTTCCACCTGGTCATCATTACTACGTCTGGTACAAGAATGGACAGAACATTAGTGGACAAACATCTAATTCTTATTCAGCCTACTTTGATCCTGCAGACAGTTTTTCCTGTGCTGTAGGAGGATATGAGAAGTCCCGCTCTCCTTCAGTGTGTGAGTTTACATCCAGTCTTCCACTGACATGACACCATCTGGTGGAGCCTTTAACCTATTGTACTGCACATTAACTGCATGTAACTCAGTGGTATTTGGTGATTCATTGTAGAACTGGATGAAAACCAAATCATTTCCCCATGAGATTGTAGACATGTTGCATAATTAACTCTTATTTTCTGTCTTCACTGTAAAATAACTCACAATGAAAACGTATTAAAACAGGATTTGTTATTTTGTCTTTAGACTGTTTAAATTCTCTGGATCAGATCAAACTTGTGCATCATCAGAGAAATTCCCTGATTATCTGTTCTTGTATCTTTAATGGACACTTTTTAAAATGTGTTCTTCAGCAAAACACTTCATGGGTCCAGGTTTTAACTTATTCTGATCCATCCACACAAACACATGAGTGAAAAGATGAAGTCAGATATTTTTAAGTGATTAGTGTTACAAGATCTGTCCAATCAAGTTTCCTTGTGGAAGTGATGATGTCAGAAAATGCCCCATGTGGGAAAATCATGTCTGACACACATTTTCATTGTTCAATGCACTCATTTAGCTTATTTACCCACTAGAGGTCATCAGTAGACATGGTGGTGTCCAAAGACACTGAACCAGGATCATTTGCTTGGTCTTCTGTCTTCAGCACTGCTGGACTGTTGGACATTTTGAGTCTTCATGTCTGTGATGTTTATGTGCTTTAGGTTT